TTTTTATAAATTTAGTCTATATTATAAAACAATAATTCTTTATATTTATATATGGAAGTTATTATCGAAATGAATCACAAAAGCATATGCTATTGCTTTGATCTACAGATGGTTGTGATCTGTATTTGTGAATGTGAATAGAAAGTTTGAATTTATGGAGAAATGAGCTAGTTCCGAAACACACAGTACATGATTAGGAGCATGTATTACTAATATAAGTTCGAAGATTACATGATGAGCAAATTGGACACATTTACTGTGCTAATGCCACTGCTTCTTTGTCTTAACAAGGATTCCTGGTCTATAGGTTGAAATAAAAATTTCAACAAGGAGCGGAAATTGCAGCCACATAAAAAGAGTGACAGGAAGAGCAGCTAGCAGAATTATTGGAAGAATTACTGACCGACGGCCTTGTACCATAATTATAAGAGCAGAAGAAAATGTTACCATCATTGTTGCTATAGAGATGAAGAGTGTTGAAAGGCCCAAAATCAACTTCTGAGGTAAGGACTTGTAAAAGTCTTCCTCGGCATAACGCGATGTGAGGATTCCCAGAAACATCAACACTGAGATGGATGCAGTGAAGAGGGAAATTGCATCTGATATCAAGAATACCATAAATGATTTTTTACGCAAGAAAATGGGAACGCCAGTTTCCTGATTGTTACTACCAGGAACAGTTAAAATTGCAGCAAACATGATGGTAATTATGAGAGAGCCAACAACACTAGAAGAACGCGCTGTGGCTTTCATCCATTTCTCCCCTTGTTTTGCCAATTCCTTGTGGCTCTTTGTAAATACATCACTAGGAGTTTCACCATCTCTATTTCTAGATTTTTTACACCACTCTGGAACAATGTTTTGAACCTCCTACATTACATTCATTTCATCATACTAATGTTTAGTATTTAAACATAAGCTGATAATATGGTTTAAGTAAAATATAGATATGAAGTGAGAGAGAGGAGTGACCTTGAACCACTGCAGTTCTCTTTGCATTTGCAGGGCTGCTCCAGAAATGCAAGCTAGTTGAAAGTCAGGGGCTAACATACCTGCTATATGTAAGCAATTATTACCGAAACAATCGGTCCTATAAAAACGGGGCTTCCATCCATCAATGCTACAAAAGAAGCTGAAAATTTTTTCTTGACGATATTGAAGTGCACACATGAAAGTGTTTCTTGAATTTGTAGCAACTAGCTTAATTATTTGTGGTCTGGCTTTCAACAATGCAACCACAAACTCCTCCATGCCATTCTGGATAGCTTGAAAGAAAGCACGAAACAATAGACCTTCTTCACTTTCCTTGCGATTTAAAGTTGTTATGTGTTCACACATACATTTTAGAACCTCAATCGAAAGTGTATGGATCAACTTCAAATCATAAATTTGCTTGATTCCTATATCAAGAATCAACAACAAAAGTGAAAAAAAGATTAGTTAAAAATTATACTAGAGCTAAGGAAAATAGAGGTTTAGTTGAGTTGAAGCAGCATACCAGGTAACTTTAGAAGCCTTAAGTCCAATGCACGAAGTCCAAAAAAGGCTGCATAGAGAAAAAATAGTACTGAACTATAATAGTTTATCTCTTTTTCTGAAAGGGTTTCTAATTTGATAAGTTGCATTGAATGTAAATACCTTGCATTTTGATGTTTTTCTCTTCATTCTGGTCTTGGTGAGTAAGAGGAATTCGAACATCATTAGAGGAACTGACATCATTAGAAAACCTGTGTTTGTTTATCTTTATACCTTCAATAACAGTGGATTAAAAATAAAATAAATTACGAATGCCAACCAAAGAAATTGAAAATTAATAAAATAGAAACTGGTGCTAATACTTACAATGATAAATTAAACGTTGCCAAAATCCAATACCACTTCCACTAAAGAATGCAGACGGTTCATTGGCCAATTTTAGAATCGGAGTAACGTCGCGATCGTCTTTGGTGACGGCCAAGCTTGGATATTTCCGAAGTAAATACAATGAGATATCTGCTTTCTCAACAAAAAAATATTTATTAGACAAAAACACACTGGCACGCTGATCATGTATCATATATGGCAAGAATGCCAATGAACTTGGGATGAATGAAGTTATACTAATTTTTACCGAACATTTTGCTGACTATGGCAAAATTGAGGAGACTAGGCCCATTTTTGCCACCATCTGGGCTTAGGAATTCTTTAGGGGTCTTGGAATACAGATACTTGGTCAAATCCTTATCACCAGAAGCACATGCCCCTATAATGGGGAGAAATCCTCGCTGATCGGGAAGGGTTAGTAACTTCGGATTCTTTTTAATCAAGCATTCTGCTATCTTCTTCCCATGACGACCAGCAACGTGAAGAGCCGTGAAACCATTTACATCTGGTATTTCCAAGTCTGTTTCTGACATTCTCCGGATCAATTCCTCAGTGATCTCTACACCACCAGCTAAAACTGCAACATGAAGAGCAGTTTGATTGCTGTCATTAATTATCCCATTTATTGGATTTGAGCTCTCTTGAAAAATCTCATGTACGGTCTTCCAATATCCCTCGTTGATTGCCCACTCCAACCGGCTGGCCGTACACCTTTCTATTCTGCTATGTGACACTGCAAAAGTTGTTTAGCTTGTTATATTGCTATTTTAAGACGAACTAGATCTTAAGCGCGCCAGTTAGTCTTTATTGTTTTTATAGATTTAACCATAAATATATCTTAGACTATTCTTTTTCATAATTAGCGGTATTTTTTTTTTCCAATAGTTACACTGGTTATTCTTCAATTTTTTGTATTAAAACTTACATTCTATATTATTACTTATCAATTCTTGAATTTTATAAGGATTTTTTAGTCAAAAATTTTTTAATTAAATGATTAAGGTTGGGTTTAAGATTATTTTTGGTAATTAGCAAAAGTACTTTTTTAAAAAGTCATATAGAGC